TCAAATGGAACCTTCACTTTTTATGGAAGCCCCGAATACACTCTAATTTAGGTGTCCAAACATGAGATAGGATGAAAAAAATATTCAATCCTAGATGCAAAACCCATTGGGCTAGATTTGATGCCCCAATCTCACCCAATTACATGTGAAAATTGTGGGTGAGTTTTCTTGGATGAATTTATAATAACTTTACTCTTGGAAGAAAACTTATTTGAGGATAAGTCTATATTTAAACTTATATGTAGGTACTTAAGTCTACTTATTTTTTAAATCTCAAAATTATCCTTAACGATGTTAGTTTTGTCTAGTTATGAAAAGTCACATAAATTATAATATTGAGATATATATAAAAATCCTAGATTGAGTTATATATGAAAATCGTTTATTAAATATTATGATAATTAACTGATGTTTTATATGAAAGTTATATATTTCGTTAGTTATATATAAGAAGCTTAATANTCAATTTGACTTATGGTTCTAATTGAATCACGGGAAGCGTCTAAAATCAAGAAATTTAGGTACTATGAATAAATACGATCCATGACACCGAATAGCCAGGTGATTGGAGGAGCATGTGGAGAGATTTCAATGATCCTTAACCAACATCTGAGAAGGATGAAGGGTGTACCATAAAGTCTCATCAATAATGGGAACCCTAGAAGAAGGAATAACCCTATTTAAAGGACTGAGGATGCAAAGTACGCACAATTTTCTCTATAAATATTCTTGTATCATTTCATTACTGACTTAAGTATCAAAATATTTTTAATTGAAACACTTTAATTCTGGTCGTTTTGTAGGAAAAATTGATAAGTATACGCACAAGATTAGTAATCAAACGAACGTAAGAGGTAACCCATTTTTACCACTTACAAGTCTAATTAACGCTCCGTTTTACTTGCAACCTTAACCTTTGTGGGCATGTTTGGTACGATGGCTTGGGTGATATAAAATGGTTAGATTTGAAAAAAATAGTCTAATTCTATCGCTTATCCTTTGTTTAGTTGGCATCTTTGAGGCATGTTTTTTGAGTGTTTTTTTAATCGTAGCCTGACATGAATAGTTCCAATAAACCCACGTCTGGAGACTTTGGGAAGGGGGTGGTTTTCACATCATAGTACAATGGATTCATTGATGAAAAGACAAGTTTGTCCCGAATGAATGTCCTATTTACATCATGAGAAGGACATTCTAGTTTTATCAAATGGAACCTTCACTTTTTATGGAAGCCCCGAATACACTCTAATTTAGGTGTCCAAACATGAGATAGGATGAAAAAAATATTCAATCCTAGATGCAAAACCCATTGGGCTAGATTTGATGCCCCAATCTCACCCAATTACATGTGAAAATTGTGGGTGAGTTTTCTTGGATGAATTTATAATAACTTTACTCTTGGAAGAAAACTTATTTGAGGATAAGTCTATATTTAAACTTATATGTAGGTACTTAAGTCTACTTATTTTTTAAATCTCAAAATTATCCTTAACGATGTTAGTTTTGTCTAGTTATGAAAAGTCACATAAATTATAATATTGAGATATATATAAAAATCCTAGATTGAGTTATATATGAAAATCGTTTATTAAATATTATGATAATTAACTGATGTTTTATATGAAAGTTATATATTTCGTTAGTTATATATAAGAAGCTTAATATACGAATAAATTGTTGGTCTATTAAGTCAAAATCATATCACAAAATTTCTTTAACAACAATAATACATAATATAGAGAGGCGGAATAATGCCAACAGAATTCAGTAACACGAATGTTAATATATAGTAATATTCACGTTACTATATGATTGAAGTTACAATTAATATTGTGTTGCTAATACAGTCGTGTTACTATACTGACAATAATGTTACTATAGTGAATTTTAACATACAATTACAAACCTTGAGACGTATATTATGTAACATACATTTTAATATTCACAGTAATATTAAAGCTTTGTGCTTAGTAACACATCTAATTTTATAAAATACAAGACAATAGTTTTTTTTACAGTAACATCAACTTTTGAATGATTTTAGTAAAAATAAGATCCACAAATTGAAAATTTATAAAATGACGTGTAGTAACACACAATCGACAGTTGAATTACGACACTCAACACAAATTGTGAACATTAAGACATCAAAATTCTGAACTCTATTTTTCAGTTTACGGACAGTAACATGAACTTTTTCCATAATAACACAACCAAAGAATACTCGATTGTTTTGCGCAACAGAAAAATCAACAAAATCGAAATCTATAACACTTTAATTTAATACTAATGTATGAGTTCTCTTGAATCTTGGTTACAAGGTCAATGTCCACTTTGACAAAATTAAATCTATAATTGTTATTACTTTTTTACCATGTTACTATTTTTTTGTGAACATGTTATTATTTTTTTAGTGATCATGTTATTGTCTTGTTGGGTATCTTACTATTGTTATTTTTTATATATTAATATTTTGTCGATGAAGTCCAAAATAAACTGAAATAGTAAATTGAAATTGTATTTTATAGAATGTAATACTTTGAGATTTAAATATAAACAATTTTTTGTAAACGCCGATTTCTTGTTTTTTGGATAAGAAAATATTGTGACTTGAAAAATTGTAGTCGAAATTTGAAGGCGATTATTAAGGAGATGTATATGGCTAATTATTGTGTCCATAAACGTCGTTTATAACATTCCTGCAGGAAAGAATTACAATAGTAAAATTGACAAAAAAAAGATTTAAAATCAAATAAGTTTGCTTGACAGACTTATCTCCAAATAAGTTCATATAAGAGAATCAACCTCCAAATTTTCCTAAATTCATCAACGAAAGAGGCCCACTGCAGAAATAAAAGAATAAGGGAATGTTTGCATGGTTTTATAGTGTAGGGTGATTGTATTTGTTTCATCAAATCCTCTCAAACTCAACCCCCCTTTGGTGCATGGGATTCACACATAAATTATTTCCAATTCCTTGACTGGGGAGTATAATAAACATGTGTGGGATCTATAGACTAATCACAATTATAATTGAAGAATTCTCGTGTAATTGACTAAAATGCCCACAAGCCAATCCAATTCATACCTAAAAGTATATTTTTGGTATTTTACTTTCACTTTTAAGCTACAAAGAATGGGTCAAGTGTACAATTTTTTTTATTTTATGATTTTTCATTACTTTATTATTTTTTTGATAAATGATTGTAGATCGTTCAATTTAAAATCAATGGTTGTAGATCATCCAATTCAAAATTAATTGCCTTACCCAAAAAATAAATATATTTTGCTAGGCTTACTTAATAAATGGATCACCACAAACTCGAATACACACGAGACAGATGCAACTAACCACGACTTACATATACTACATACCTATTATATGTGATTATAAATGAGTCAGATACGAGTTTAATAAATCTTAACACAAGGGAGTTATTTGATTTATGACAAAAGAGTGAATTAATGTGAGGAATTGGAAAAAAAAATAATCCACATAATTCATGTTTGTTTTTTTTTTTTAGGCTGGTATTCATGTTTGGTTTATTCATGAGAATACAATTAGATTTTTCTCAACCCAATGTTTGGTTTAACTCCATGTACCATGTATACGCTTACATACACCCACATGGGGTATTATATTAAAAAGGGTCCAAATTTACACTGTTGAGATTTAAAATTACTAAAATATCCTTACATTGAATCAAAACTAAGTTGGGCAAAAGATACATTAGAACCAAAAACAATGCATCATTGTAATAATACACATCTGATTTCATATCACATCGTGGGGCTTACATTTTTTTTCTATTTCTATCCTATCATTCCAACGTGAAATAAGATAAAGATATATCATACTCTAATCTAAATGTATCCCAAAAATGTAATTGAACGGGTTTTAATAGACTTAAACCGACTCTAACAAGTGAAACTTAGCAAAAAAATACCAAAGTCATTTAGGTGGAAATCGACATGCCACGAGCTATTAAGATCCTAGGTGTTCACCATCTTTCATGTGACACACGAGGAAGGAAACCTACCATGGTAGTTCAATTGATATAATGGCCACTATGGTTGTGTGTGTGGGTGGGGTGGCGTGGGTTGGGGGTAAATTACATTTACGCTGCTTGAACGATTATCATTTCTTTTTATTTTGTCTCATTGATTATTAAATTTTTCACATTGTACCATCAATTAACATTTTTATTTCACATTGTCTCAATCGCAAACGTTCATTATTATTTTCGATGAAAATCGTTGACGTGTTGGAGTAAAGTAAAAAAAATTACATACTTTAGAGGACAAAATAAAATAATTGTTTGTTAAATATGAAACAAGCATTAATAAGTGGGGCAATGTAAAACTAATAACATAGTTGAGGGTTTAATATAAGAAATTTAACTGTTAAAGAAATAAAATAAAAAAAATGATAATTCAAAGGGTATAAGTGTAATTTAATCGGAGCCTGATCAGGTTCTTTGGGCACCCAGATAGAAATTTCATGGCGGAGAGATGATATCACAACAGTCCATATGTCAACTGATTAATACTGACTAGACTATGATGAAATCAACCCAAAAAATCCACTTACGCAACTGTCTCATTGACACTTAATCAAACAGTTAGAAGACTCGATGTCATGATCGGCCATTCCAATTCCTCCATCTTCAACGTCTCAGAAAACTGCCGCCTCAAAGGGAAGGAAAAAGTTACAATCTGACGTAGTGATCACCAAAACAAACTTCACACTATCACCCCTTTTTCTAATCCAACCCCACCTTTAACGTATCTGAAACCTTCTCTCTCTGAAAATCTCAACCATCAAAACCACCAAAGAGCCACATGAGAATCCACATAAAGAGATAGAGAAACAAAGATGGTAATGCCTGGTTTCTTGCTTCTCTCCAATTCAGACACCCTTTCTCTCTCTGAAGTTTAAACCCATCAGCAATCCAAGATAGACTCTGCATATAGTCCAGGAAAAGATTTTATAGAGAGAGATGAAGCCTGCTTTCTCGATTCTCTGCCTGCTAATTTCTGTGTCTGTTTTTGTAGCTCCAACATCATCGTCTTCAAGCCCAATTTCTGACAACAACAGATCTACAACATGTCCTTTCGATCTAAGCTATGTTCAGAAAGTCCCATGGCCTTCCTCTGATTGCCAAAACTTTCACCCAATACCGTCAAACAATTCAGGCAATTCCACCACAAGCAAAACCCAGTGCTGCCAGACCCTCCTCAGCCTCTACGGCATAGCACTGGCCCAACATCTCAAACAGAGCTCTCTTTTCCAACTACCCAATTTAGCCACCTCCATTTCTTGTCTCTCTGATTACCAATCCAAGCTCAACTCTCTCTCTCTACCCTCTAACCTCACCTCCCTCTGCTTTGATCCTTTCCAATTTGTCATCACACCCAACATCTGTGCCTCAATTCAAACCACCCAAGATTGGCTATCCAAGCTAGGTCCCTCAACACCACTGGACAAGGGTTGTAGCCCAGACCTCACTGATCTCACCTCCTGTGATGCCTGTGTAGCCGCCGGTTTTCGGGTTCAAGCCGATTTGATTGCAATTGATGGTAATAAATCTCATTCCACTGATTGTTTTTACTTCGCAATTTTGTATGCTGCTGGAATTATCAATGAGTCTGGGCCAGAAAGTCCTGGTGCAATTTCGTGTATTTTTGGTCTTTCACTTCGTTCTAGCCCGAGTTCTCCACGTACTAGTGTAGCACTAGTATTTGGACTTACTGGTACAGCTTGTGCGGTACTGGTCATGTCTTGTTTGTTTGGTTTGTACTATCTGTGGAAGAGGAACAAGAAGGAGAGGAGGGAGATTGATTTGGGTGAAGAGGAGCTTGAATCTAGGCCACGAATGAGGCCTAATACGGGTTCAATTTGGTTCAAAATTCATGAGCTTGAGAAGGCAACTGATAATTTTTCATCCAAGAATTTTATTGGGAGAGGTGGGTTCGGGGTTGTCTATAAGGGGGCTTTGGCAGATGGGACTACAGTTGCGGTTAAGAAAATCATAGAATCAGATATCCAAGGGAACGCGGAGTTTTGCAATGAAGTTGAGATCATTAGCAATTTGAAGCATCGAAATCTTGTGCCACTTAGAGGATGTTGTGTGACCGATGAAGATGAAAATGATAAACATGAGGTGAGCGAGAGATACCTTGTTTACGACTATATGCCTAATGGGAATCTTGAGGACCATTTGTTTCCTTTGGAAAATCATAGTGGAATCAGAAAGCAACCATTAACATGGCCTCAAAGGAAGAGTACAATTTTGGATGTAGCAAAGGGTCTAGTTTATCTTCACTATGGAGTGAAGCCTGCTATATATCATAGAGATATTAAGGCCACAAATATATTGTTAGATTCTGAAATGAGGGCGAGAGTCGCAGATTTTGGGTTGGCAAAAGAAAGCAGAGAAGGGCAGTCTCATCTCACTACTAGAGTGGCGGGAACACATGGATACTTAGCACCCGAATATGCACTTTATGGGCAATTGACAGAGAAGAGTGATGTGTATAGCTTTGGGGTAGTTGTATTGGAGATTATGTGTGGAAGAAAAGCTCTGGATTTATCTTCTTCAGAATCACCTCACACACTTCTAATCACGGATTGGGCGTGGTCGCTCGTGAAAGCTGGGAAGATAGAAAAGGCTTTGGATGCTTCTTTGTTGAGAGATGGAGATTCAACAAATACAAATCCTATGGGGATAATGGAAAGATTTGTACTTGTTGGGATTTTGTGTGCCCATATAATGGTGGCTTTAAGGCCTACCATTTTGGAGGCGCTTAAAATGTTGGAAGGAGACGTAGATGTTCCTGCAATTCGGGATAGACCAACACCACTTGGTCATCCTTCTTTTCAAGGCGGGGATGGCAATCCTTTTAGCATATCACCAGCATTGAGTGCGCTGCAGTTACATGCTGGAGACATGCTCAGGTAAGTTAGAGCAGAAAGGGTAGAGCAGCCCGGGCTGCCTTCCTGACTTTATGAAGAAATGCATGACTTGGTAGCTCTGTTCTCATCTTGTAAATAACTTCTTTGTGGTCTTCAAGGGCAAAGGAAGCATGCTTATGGAGCTCACAACTTTTGAGTTGGTTTATATCTTTATAGAATATACCATGGAGAAGATGTTGACCCCATATAAGAAGTGTTGATATGCATTGACCCAGTTGTATAACTCTAAAATGGGTATGGGGAAATGACATTTATTTTCACTGCAATAGTCTATAGACCAGGAACTGAGCATTAAGCTCCATTTAGATTCCAAGAGGATGGTATTTTGTTTTCCATACCTGCTCAAAAACATGGAAGATTTCCAACTTTCCTCTTAGATCAATATAGATTCTAGATTTACAATCTTCTATCTTTTATAATTCAGTTCATTGTATGAAAGGTTTGGGATTTTGATTTCTTGGGGACCCATTTTGATCAATGCTTTGATATCCTGGATTTTCCTTGGTTATGATAGACTATTGTACACAAACTGGTTCAAAAGCTGGATTACATACTGTTTTTGGGTATTTGCCATGGGGCAGGTATGCTTGAGCAAGGCCTGCAGTTTTGTTTGTCCCTTTCCTGATGAAGATGTAATAGATGATTGATTGAAATAAAAAAAGAGAAATCTCTACTAGATTTTAATTGACACATTCTTTATCTCTTATTTCATGAATGCACAAATAAAATATTAGGAGAATGATAACTTCTCAATGTTTATAGGTGTCACAGGGTAACTTTCATTTTTCCTTCGAGGTNAATCTTCTATCTTTTATAATTCAGTTCATTGTATGAAAGGTTTGGGATTTTGATTTCTTGGGGACCCATTTTGATCAATGCTTTGATATCCTGGATTTTCCTTGGTTATGATAGACTATTGTACACAAACTGGTTCAAAAGCTGGATTACATACTGTTTTTGGGTATTTGCCATGGGGCAGGTATGCTTGAGCAAGGCCTGCAGTTTTGTTTGTCCCTTTCCTGATGAAGATGTAATAGATGATTGATTGAAATAAAAAAAGAGAAATCTCTACTAGATTTTAATTGACACATTCTTTATCTCTTATTTCATGAATGCACAAATAAAATATTAGGAGAATGATAACTTCTCAATGTTTATAGGTGTCACAGGGTAACTTTCGTTTTTCCTTCGAGGTTACCTGTGAAGGCGTTGCTACTGCAACCAGCCACACTCAAACTCAAGAATAAGGGACAGAAACTCACACAGAAGACACACACGAGTTTACTGGGACAAAACTCTCAAACCTTATATATTGAACTCAACAATTTACAAGGACTCTCAAAGCTAGAACACTCTCTCCTCATCAGAATGCTCAAGCACCCCTATTTATACATGAGTAAGGCAGATAACACCCCCATCTGTCAAGGGGTAGTTACACACGTTTTTGCTATTCCATAGCATACTGGCTAGCAGGCTTGGTCTCCGTGCGACACCTGACAGGTAGTTCCACCACTTCCAGTAACTGTTGTGGAACTGCCCTTCATCAGCATGCATCTAGACTGGATTCAGACTAGGGACGCCCAAACTGCCTCAGCAACTGCCTTGACTGTGTCTCAGCATCATAACCGCCCACATCCTCCTGGTTACATACATTGAACAACCATGTGCCGGTCAAGTGCCCACATTTAGCAGCCATGTGCCAGTCAAATGCCCACATTCAGTAGTCAGCCTGGCTACACGAACTAATGTGCATGCTGGGTTCAACCCATGCCATGCAATCCGAAGCTATGCACCCACATTGCTTCAATTGAGCCCACCACGTGTTGCCATGCTTAACCAGGTGTTCTCATACTGCCTTGGTTCGCCTTAATCTGTCGAACCACTTAGCCGCATCACTTTGATTCTAACTTATGGCATGTCTTGGTGCAAGGTGCCATCAAGATCGGTCATTTGCACCCAAGTCAGTTAGGGTGTGACAAGCCACCCCCACCTGAAGTATTCAACGACCCTGTTGGAATGGAGGCATGGTATTGCTTGATGAGATCCTTGAACTGCCACAATATCGTCTCTTTCTCCCAAATGGCTTCCTCCGGTGCTTTCCCTTTCCACTTGACTAGGTAATGAGTTCTCCTATTTTTCTTACTCATTCTCTCAGTCTTGTGGTCAAGGATATCTTCAGCTATTTTTGTGAATTGCTTCCTGATTGTTGGAGGAGCCCGATGCCGAACATATCTGTTAGGGTCCTCCGGGTCCTTAATATAAAGCTTCAAGAAGGCAACATAAAAAATTGGATGAAGCTTGAGACGACTAGGAAGATCTAGCCTATAGGCCAACCTGCCAATCCTTATTGTTATAAGGAAGGGTCGTCATAGCACTGGATTAGTCCCTTGTGTGCCGACTTTTGAGAGATCTTGTTCCAGATTGGTGGGGTCAATTTCAGCATCACTTTGTCACCTACTTCGAACTCTACTGCCCTCCTTTTCTCGTTTGCCCACTTTTTCATTCTCTTCACCGCCTTAATTAAACAGTCTTTTGCCTCGTCGGTCCGCTCTTGATTGGCCCGAGCAAAGCGATACGTTGCAGGACATCTCATTTGAGACTTCTGCTTGAGAACTTCATGCGGGGTAAGAGGCTGTTGACCAATTGCCAACTCAAATTGGCTCATTCCAGTGGAAGAGCTATGTTAGAGGTTATAATTGAATTGGGCTACATCAAGTAAATCCACCCAATTGTCTTGGTTCGCTGTGACATAGTGTCTGAGATATTCCTCCAGCATTGCATTAACCCGCTCAGTCTGCCCATCTGTCTGCGGATGATTGCTGGTGGAAAGGTTGAGTTGTGTGCCCAATAATTCAAATAAAACCGTCCAAAATCGGCCAGTAAACCTAATGTCCCTGTCGCTGACTATGTCCAGCGGAAGACCCCAAAGCTTCACAATATGCTTGAGAAACAACTGAGCAGTAACTTCCGCTGTACATACTTTTGGGGCAACAATGAAAGTGGCATACTTCAAAAATCTGTCTACAACCACAAATATCGAAGTAAAATCGTTCACCTGAGGTAAGCCATTGATGAAGTCCATGGAAATACTCTCCCAAGGTCTGCTTGGAATAGGGAGGGGTTCCAAAGTACCCGCCACCTTCTTCCTCTCTATCTTGTATTGCTGGCACACCAAACAAGTGCGCACATACATCTCCACATCTGCTCCCATGCGGGGCCAATAATAGCTTTCTGCTAGCAAGGCAAGAGTCCATTGCTGGCCTGGATGTCCTGACCACAGAGCATCATGAGTTTCTTTCAGCAACATCTGTCGAAGTCCGCCTGACTTCAGCACATAGGGTCTACTTCCTTTGGCGTAGAGAACACCATCCTCTACCCAAAATCGCTAAGTCACTCCTTCATGGACCTGCTTCAACAATAAGATGGTCACTAGATTATCTTTTGTCTGATCCTGAATTATCTGCAGTATGTCTCCTGCAATCTAGCTAAGTGCAGCAACTGTCCCATCAGCAACTGGGATTCGACTAAGAGCATCAGCAACCTGATTTGCACTGCCAGGCTTGTACTGTAACATGAAATGAAACTGGGCAAGAAAGTCCTACCATCTTGCTTGTTTTGGTGTCATCTTCTTCATGGAATTGTAACAACTGGTAGCCACATTATCTGTTAGCACAAGGAAATGCTTCCCCAACAAGTAATGCCTCCATGCATTAATGCAGTGAATGACTGCTGTCATCTCCTTTTCTTGTACTGAATACTGCCTCTTGGTATCATTCAACTTCCTACTTTCAAATACCACCGGATGCCCATTCTGCACCAGCACCCCTCCAAGAGCAAAGTCTGATGCATCTGTATGGACTTCAAAAGACAAATCGAAGTCAGGTAAGCATAAAATTGGGCTAGATGTCACCACCGTCTTCAATCGATCGAATGCCTCCTGACATTCATAGGACCAGTTCCATGTCCATCCTTTCTTAGAAGATCAGTCAGCACCGCGACATTCTTTGAATAATTCTTCACGAATTTTCGATAATAGTTTGTCAAACCAAGAAAAGAACGCAGTTCAGTAACCTTAGTAGGGACAGACCAATCTGCAATGACCTCAACTTTCTTCGGGTCCATCTTCACCACGCCTGCAAAAATAATATACCTAAGGAATGAAATTTTCTTCTGGGCAAACTCACATTTTTTCTGGTTTCAGATACAACTGGACTTTCCTTAATTTTGTCAAGGCCAACCTAAGATGCTCAACATGCTCCTTAAGAGTCTGGTTATAAACAACTATGTCATCCAAATAAATCACCATAAAATGGTCCAAGTATTCCTGAAAGACATTAGTCATCAAGTTACAGAATGTAGTAGGGGCATTGGTTAAGCCGAAAGGCATAACTAAAAACTCATATGACCCGTACCTTGTCATACAAGCAGTCTTCGCCTCATCTCCTTCTGCAATTTTGACTTGATGATATCTCAGCCGCAAATCCATCTTAGTGAAGAAAACCGCATTTCCCAATCTATCGAATAGTTCGTCGACAAGCGGCACTAGATAGTTGTTCTTGACAGTGACTTTGTTGAGCACTCTGTAGTCTACACAAAGCCGTAAGGATCCATCATTCTTTTTTTGAAACAGAACAGGGGCTCCATAGGGTGCCTTGGAAGGCTGAATGAACCCAATGTCCAATAAACCCTCAAGCTGTCTCCTTAGCTCCGCTAACTCTAATGGAGACATTTGATAAGGAGACTGAGCAGGGATTTTTGCCCTGGAATCAACTCAATGGCATGGTCAATCTCCCGTCTTGGCGGTAACCTTGCTGGAAATTCTTTAGGTGTCACGTCCTTGAACATAACCAGCAATTGTTGCACTGGTTCAGGGATTTGCAATGCTTTGGACTCCTCTTCCTCAAATAGAACAGCCAAGTATGTTGCTTCCCTCTTTTGCAAGCCATCTTTTACTTGCAAGGCAGACAACATTTTTCCCGAAGACTT